GATTGACATCGGAGGCTGATCTTAACTTGCTGTGCCAGGACTCACTGCTTGAAGTCTGTCTCCCTTGACTTGACTGGGGTTGATTCCCTTTAGACTTCGAGATATTGCCATTCAATTGAAGAATGTTTGGTTTGTCTACCACATACAAGCGTGGCACATTGTGCAGATGTGAAATTGATGTAGCATCCTGCCGTACAGCAAGACATCCATTCCCTTAACTGATAACTGCTGACCCCCATGACAAGCTGTCTGGCTTTGTATCTGCACCAAACAGATCTGTGAGGTAGAAAGACTGTGAGACTTTTAGCTCTGACTGAGGCATCAAAGCACTGAAAGGAAAGACAAGGCAGGGATGCTGTGAGCATCAAAGTAGGTACAAAGTGAACGAGTGCTAAGAAAGCAAATGAGGAGCCCTGAGTTGCAGCCTGGTCTAACCCGTAGGCTGTTTGTCTGCCCTGAACACAAAGTAAGCAGACAGCAACATTGTAATGAGAGGTGCCAGTGCAGTCTGAGGTGCAGCACTGAGGTACAGACACACATTGTAAGTGGATCAGAGATGATCATTGATGATGCTGTGAGGCTGGTAAATGTTTGATGTCGATGTCTGCGGGTGTAGGTTGCACAGTGTCACAGCCCATGGCCCATTCCCTGAGACCTTGGTGACTAATGTCCAGGATGGAGGTGCAGAGGAGTATGGTCTCCAGGGTCAAGGGTCTCCAGGTTACCACTCTGACTTTCATGGCATCTGGTTTCTATTTGGCTGATGGAAGAACATGAGATTCCATTTTCTGAGTTCAGATTAGATACTAATGAAGATGATATTGAGAAATAATCCGTGTAAATAGACCATTCGCTGCTCACTGCTGAGAATCTCGTCTCATCCTCCAACACTTGGTTGAAAAATGGGTCTTTTTGATCTTAATATCAAGAAGATCCTCACTTGTCACTGCACCTGATTTTCCCAACTTTCTCACCATAGCCAATGTCAGTCAGAGACAAGTTAAGCTCTGACCTTGAAGTTTCTTCTCAACCATTTTAAGTTATTCCTGATCTGCAACGTTCTGAAGCACCCAGTTCATAGAATGAGGTTTAAAGTCAAGAGCACCAATGTGGGAGTGGTAAGGGCATGAGGAAGGTTGAGGTGGGGTGGGGTGGGTAGGGGAGAATCGGGGTAACTTCTGAGAACAATGAGGGGAAAATGATGCCAGGAATATTGACTTGATATTCAGATAGAACCACTGCTGTATTATTATAGTTCTGTCCTTTTATACTCCATACATGAATAATGTTATTCTGTTTAATAAAAATAAGCTCACCTAAAACAGGGCTTCTCAGACTAACTCTCATCACTTGTACCTCCCATCCCCGTGACAGACACTTACTGAATGTCAACATCTGCAAGGCCCCTTAAATCCTCAAAATCTTTTCTCGTGGTGGGTGCAGGCTGATGAACAGATCTTTGAAGCTGTTGCAAAAACAGATTTGTGAACAAGAGGGTGTTCATTGTCTCTGTGATTGAAACAGTTCTGACAACAATGAACATCTGTGCCCCCTAATCCCACTCAGGTGCCTGAAGCACAACATTTGCCACCTCACGGTTGAAACAACTCTCCACTCTGCCCCACCAGGGACTGTGTTGAGAAGGCAAGGTGACAAACATGTTCAATTATTAACTACTTTTCTTTTTCTTAGCTCAGTGTAAATTATTCTCAATATTTGCCTTCCTAATTGGCATGGAGGTAAAAAAGCCCAAATTAACCTTTCTGTCGCTAATTTTGTTTCTGAGAATCTCTCTCATGATAATTTCATGTTTTTGTGATGGCAATAAACAGCTGATATTGGATCAGTCATCTGTTATTGAATAAGCTGCCTGTTATACATTACTCCCACCTTCTCTTTCTCTTTCCTAATGCTATCACCAAAAGTTATAATGACGGCCTCAGGTACTTTATTGAGAAAATCATTCTTCCAGCACCTCACACCTATTTTAAACACTTGGATTTTTTTTCTGGTCATCTATTTCCTGGGGTTGAAAATAGAAAATGACTCATGAGGTTATTGCAGTCACGTTTCAGTCGTTCCAATGTTTTAACAAGTAAATTACACTCGTCAAAGTCAACAGCCGCATTAAAGTGCGGTAATTCAAACACATAGTTAATCTGTGAAAATTAACATTTGCCGTTCTGGTTTTTTTTTATTTATTTGGTATATACAGCAGCATAATCGCTTTTGTGGCAATTGGATGAATATGTTTGCAGATCCAAAGCCCAAATGATGCAACTGAAATATCCCATAAATTTGTAGCAGTGGGTACTATGAGAAATGACTTTATTATTACATGCAAGGTGGTTTATCTCCAATGCCTTCTAAGGAAAATTTTAGTATTAATGTGAGGCCCAGATAGTGGCACTTCCAAATCTCAACAGGTTAAAAATGACCAAAAAAAAATTCATCAAATCTCAACATCAACTGTGGTCTGAAACTTCCAAATTCAATCTTGTTCAATACACTGCAGTTTATTGGAAGTGAACTAAAACAAAGAGAACAACTGATCCCAGCAGACACTATAGCTCCCAATACTGGGAGCCTTTAACATAACTAATTAATCAGTAATTAAAACCGGTGAATGGTACCTCCTCTGAAGCTGTTATTCCTGATATTTTGGGAAAATAAATGTCATACTTAGATCAGTGACTTACTTAGATCATGAACTCAACTGCATGGCCCATTATATGCCACATTTATTAACCTGTCGTCTTTTCATTCCAAGCATGAAAATGGTAGAGCATCCTGACTGTTTAATTGGCAAATGTCATTCCCTTGTTCAAGAAAGGGAATAGGGATAATCCTGGGAATTACAGACCAGTCAGTCTTACTTCTGTGGTGGGCTAATTATTACAGAGGATTCTGAGAGATAGTATTTATGATTATTTAGAAAAAGCATAGTTTGATGAGAAATAGTCAGTGTGGCTCTGTGAGGGACAGGTCATGCCTCACAAGCCTTATTGAATTCTTTGAGGATATGACAAAACACATTGATGTGGATGTGGTGTATATGGATTTTAGCAAGGCATTTGATAAGGTTCTCCATGGTATGCCCATTCAGAAAGTAAGGAGGCATGGGATTCAGGGAAATTTGGCTGTCTGGATACAGAATTGGCTGTCCAATAGAAGACAGAGGGTGTAGTAGATCAAAAGTATTCAGCCTGGAGTTCGGTGACCAGTGGTGTTCCGCAGGGATCTGTTCTGGGACCTCTGCTCTTTGTGATCTTTATAAATGACTTGGATGAGGAAGTGGAAGGGTGGGTTAGTTAGTTTGCTGATGACACGAAGGTTAGTGGAGTTGTGGATAGTATGGAGGGCTGTTGTAGGTTGCAATGGGACACTGACAAGATGCAGAGCTAGGCAAAGAAGTGGCAGATGGAATTCAAGCCAGAAAAGTGTGGAGTGATTCATTTTGGAAGGTTGAATTTGAATGCAGAATACAGGGTTAATGGCAGGATTCTTGGCAGTGTGGAGGAACAGAGAGATCTTAGGGTCCATGTCCATAGATTTCTCAAAGTTGCCACCCAAGTTGATTGGGCTGTTAAGAATGCGTATGGTGAGTTGGCTTTCATCAGTAGGGCAGTTGAATTTAAGAGCCGCGAGGTTATCTGCAGCTCTATAAAACTCTGGTTAGACCACACTTGGAATATTGTACTCAGTTTTGGTCGTCTTATTACAGGAAGGATGTGGAAACTTTAGAGAGAGTGCAGAGGAGATTTACCAGGACACTGCCTGGACTGGAGGCCAGGTCTTATGAGGAGCTTGGGCTTTTCTCATTGGAGCGAAGAAGGATGAGAGGTGACTTGATAGAGGTGTACAAGATGATGAGGGGCATAGATAGAGTGGATTGCCAGAGACTTTTTCCCAGGGCAGAAATGACTGTCACAAGGGGTCATAATTTTAAGGTGACTAGAGGAAGGTACTGGGGAGATGTCAGAGGTAGGTTCTATACACAGAGAGTGGTGGGTGCATGGAATGCACTGCCAGCGGTGGTAGTGGAGTCAGATACATTAGGAACATTTAATTGACTCTTGGATAGACACATGGATGATAGTAAAATGAAGGGTACGCAGGTTAGTTTGATCTTAGAGTCGGATAATAGGTCGGCACAACATCGTGGACCAAAGGGCCTGTACTGTTCTATGTTCTATAAATCCAGGTGTCTATCTTCCTTACAATAATGTCAGAGAAAAGCAAGGCATTGAAAAAGCAATCGAAACAACTACATTACCAACAATGAACAAGAAACCTAATCTAACCATTAAGAATGGTTTCTGCACTTACACACGTGGCAATAGTGCTGGAACAAATTATTTTGTTTTGAAATAGCACATCTTCTCATATTACTGAAAAGTTTCACATCACCAAAGGACAAGCTTAAATATAGTTGAGTTTTATTTCTATGCCTAAGCCTATTCTAATCAAATGAAAATGTTTTATTTATTTCTGCTAATGCCTCTGATAGTTAGCTTGTAGTTTTTCATGCAAACATCATCTAGTCTATTTACTGGGTAAACATTGTGCCCCATAAGGCCTCTAATTTAAATTCTCATTATCTTTCGTTCTGGCTTTACTGTGGTTTTAATTTTTTGATTTAAAATGAGTTACTGTTAAAGTGTTTGGTCCTCCATTAGGCTTATGCCATTCGATTTTCAAAAATAACAAGCTATTTTCATCAAAGGAGTACATCATGGACAGAGGCCATTCAGTCCTCCTGTCACTTTTAAAGCAATAAGCCTATGCAGTGCAGTCAATTTAAGTGACTAGCAAGGAATTATATATTCTCATTCATCATCTTGCCTATGAATCTGAGACGAATAGTATTAAGGTTCTGTAGACTCTAATCAGATCATGTACATTACAGACCACAAAAACATACAGTAAATTAAAAAATAAATGTTTAATATGTCCATATGTTCACAAACATAAAATATTGAACAATAACAATAGGTTGTAACAAAATTGCACAAAAATATTTTGTATTAACGACTTCACAAAAATAGCAGAAAATAATTCAAGATGGATATGATTAAATGCCAGATGATTTTTAAAATTTTATTTTATCCAGCAGTGTTTCCTGTATTTGCGTGCTTGTACATGTCTATAGCACTAAAGTGTAGACTTATTGCAGGGAACAGAGTTAATACAGAAAAACATTGCTATTATCAATGATATACACGTTTTATATACAGTTTCAGTAATGACTGATTTCAGCATAACTAGATCCTGCCTCAGTAAACAGCCAAAGCACCCCATACCGCATTTACACAACGTTTATAATTAGCTCATCCACTTTACCACTTATTTACTTAATTGACAACTGATTCCAGATACTTACATTTGTAAAATAATATTTTAACTCAATTTAAGTCTTACCAATGATACTTCTGAGACAAGCTGTGCTTAACACCACTTCATATGCAGCATTTGTCCAGAGAAATCCTTAATATGGCTAAAATCCCTTTACCTTTTCAAAAGTCTAAAATCCTTGATGCCAGTATAACACTGCAGTAACAGCAGCACCAATATTATATTAAATCCATTGCTGAAATCTTTAAAATATATTTTCTGATGATGTTAACAAAATTGAACAATGTACATCTCTAAATATCAGAAATGTATATTTCCATTGATACATATTTTACAAGAAGTTATCATGCAGTTCATGCTTATTGGAATAGAACTATATACACAGTAACTCATCTAGTTAACAGGTACATATATAAGTTGTTAACTAAGACATGGATATGAATGTCCAGTATGGTTTCAGCTAAACCAGCTAGGCATTTCTTGTTGGATTGAAATGTTACCCCAGATGATGGATATGTTACCTCTTTTCATGTTTGTGCCTTCCTGAAGCCATTAAGAATGAGCGCTTGTCTCTGCTTGCGTGTAACCAGTAAAGACAACATCTTTGCAGTTATCTGCATGTAAACAATTGGAAACACTCAGTTCTATAAACTTCATTACTCATCTGCTCTACAGAACAGTAATAAATCCCAACATGCAGAACAGTTGGCCAATGTTTTGGTCAGCAAATGGTGCAATACACACATATATCCAGAGCCATCCACGTTCCAGAAAGTGCACATTGCTTGCAGACGATGAGACAGAATGTTCCATGCAAATGATTTAACCCAAGCCACATTGTGTGGACTCAGACAGAAGTCAAGACATCTTCAAAATGGATCAAAGTCACAGAAATGAAGTTCCAATGGAGTGATATCATTTGGAAGCACATGTTTGTATTCAGTATCTCCCTGAAAAACACTTGTCATTGAACATAGTGGCTAAGCAGATCTTCTAAATGCCCTTAGTTTGTAACGGTAATGCAGTAAAATTAACATATAAGCAAGAAGCATTACTTTGCAAAGATTAAATGCAAAGGTCATAAACTTCAGCTATTTATATTTACAGTTATATCATGCAGGTTTTAAGTCTTACTAGTAAGTCTACACTTAAAGCTGCTGTTTCAATTATATTATAATGCAGTAGAAGTTAACTTGAATAAATTATTCTATGCTTGTTTACAATATAGATGGAATGGGAGATCGAGAACGTCTCAGGGGACAAGGTGAGTTGTAGGGTGAAGCTACTGGAGACAGTCTTAGAGCATTACCAGCCATGCCAGCTATGTTGTTTAAGCTTCTTGACTTTTCGTATCCTTATACGGAAACAGAAATGCACAGATATCAGTTTGCATCAGTTAATAGCCATGAAAACAACATTAGAAAATGCAATGCAATCAAAAGTGGTTTTCTAAATGACGAGCTAGTTGGTTAGAAACAGTTACATTAAGAGTGATCTGGGATTGTAGCTGCCTGTGTGCAAAAAATACATTAAGGAATGTAATAAAAAAAAAGTGCAGAAAGGAGCACAAAGAAATTTGCATTTCTTGCCTTTAAATATTTGTAGTAATTTTAATAGGATAGTTAATTCTGACCACTTGAGAAAACATCTTCAACACATTGAAACAGAAAGGCACTTCTGAACTTACAGCTTTTGGAATTACTTCATTCAACAGACATTAGAAGAATATAGCTTGCATTCTTACTTCATAAATATACGAAGGTAAAGGCAAATGAGAAGATCAAAATTTGCTTGGCTAAGGATACTCCGTGCTATTTTAAAGTATCAATTCAAGCAACAGAACACATCTTAAGTTAATTATTAAAGGTGAACTATCAGGATATGCCTGTGCTAATTGATTTACCTATATATGTGAGAACGGACTGTAATTTGATTAAATTTAAAACATACACAAATGCACACTTAAAAATGTATACCAGGATGTTCATTAGCTAATGCATTCCAAGAAAAATGACTGCACAGGAAAGTATGATATGAGAAATGTACATTTTCTAAATTAGTTTATGTAATTAATGTCAAAACTTCATTTTAGCTTTCTAAGGAGAATTGCATACCTTTCCTGATCCCTCCATCAGTAGCACACGCATAATCACCTGTGGTCAGCAAGAAACATGTTCCCCCGCTTCTGTTTTTGTCCCTGGTGCTAGACCGTCTGATTGGAAGCCTCTCTTCAGAAGATAGTGGTTGGTCACTTCCTGCACTGTCTTCACCTGACAACACTGTTCACATCACCATTCTATTTATTGTACTGAATGCACACTGCTAGTTCAAAACATTCTACAATCTGAATTCACAATACAGACATGCAAGGTTTTGAATGACATGACCTTTCATATCCTAATTTCTTATCAATAAACAAATGAGGCACGGCAAAGCAGCAAAAATGCCAAACGTAGTAGGTAACGGGACAAGGCACACACTAGGGAAAAGGATTCCACCACAGCTAACGATTATTAAATGACCATGCATTGTCACACATATTTCAACACAGTTGCAAAAAGAGAACTGGCACCATGCACTACTGTTACAAATACTTGTTATATAGACCATTCCTTTTCAACTGCGTGAATACATCATGAGCACAAATATATACTGTCATTCAGTACAGCAATCAGCAAGCTAATATTTATTAATTGGAAGGCAGACTTCTGTGAATGTTGGCTTCATTGAATTGTACTAAAACAAGTAATTTTCTATTCTCGTTTCATCGCAGATGGTAATTAATTTATAGATAAGTTGAAAATGCTCAGTTACAATGTAAAAATGATGTTGCTGAGATTTCCACATGAATATAACAAAAAATGCATTCTTTGAAACAATACATTAGTAGAATGCTTCAAAGTGCTTGAGAAATCTGTGTGGCAGATTTATATATCACTCTTACATTTGATTTGTAGAATGCATTTAACTCTGTCTTCAACCAAAACTCTTTTGCATATCAGCTAAAATTACAAGATCTCAGAATTCTCAATGGTTCTTGAAACCTCATACTGTATTTCATGTAGAACTGGTGGGGGGTTGGGGTGGTTACTTCTCATTGTCTTATGTAGGAGTGTAAAGGGTTGTCTGGATCTACAGCATTGAGAATGCTCATGTGATGGAGCACTGACATTATTTAACTGGATGAAAAGCCAAACAGATTCCAGATATCTCTTGATGTTCTTCATCCATCTGATTAAATGTACTGAATGGAAAAACCTGCCCTAAGATTACCACTTAAACATTAAGGCAATGAAGTTTGTTTTGGTAGTAAAGCAAAATGGGGGATAACAAATCAGTAGACTGCTTGACTGTCCTATTTCCCTTTCCATGCCACGGCAGTTCACAATTGCCAGATTTTGTAAGTAATTAATTTTTAAAATTAATTTTAAACACTGTCAAGTAGACCCAGTTGTGTTCATTGTGAACCCAATGATTTTCAAGATTCCAAAACTAACCTCAATGTTGTGTAATGTTTTGAAAGAGGAAATTGCACAAAATATTGGGTCACCTCCTTCAGGTCAGTTAGGGGCGGGTATGAAATGCTGGCCTAGCCAGCAAAACACATATTGCATGAATGGATTTTAAACAAAAGCTCCTCCTCTTCTGTTTTTGTCCGTGTTGCTAGACCTCTGTTCGGAAGCCTCTCTTCAGGAGATAGTCACAAAGTTGCATCTATCAGTTTATCACAAATGAGCAGTGGGAAAAGATTGTAATCTACATGAATAACTTTAAACATAACTTTGAGATGCTCCTTTGTTTTTGGACTCCAATTTGTTTTTTGAAAGAGGGCTTCTGGCTAAATAGGTATGCACAAAATGGCATTAAATATAAAATAAAAATGCCAGACAAGAGTTAGCATTTCAGGTTGATGACCTTTCTGACAGTTCTGATGTAAGATCATCAGCCTGAAACATCAACTGTTTCTTTCCACAGATACTACCTGACCTGCTGAGTATTTCCAGCATATTTTGTGTATATTTTGGATTTCTAGTACCAGTAGTATTTTGTTTTATGTGTAAAATGGCGACCAGTAATAGGCCCTTTCAAAATGTGGCTGCACCTTTTGAGTTAACAAGAGGGTATGTTCCATTTTGTGGCTATTACTGTACAATAAATGCCAAGCACAACAAATTAGAATTACAATTGCTGTGTGTACAAGTATCAAGTTATTTACATGATCTCATGCCATTTCTTCATTTGCTATATATGGTCTCACTGTCATCGTGGAATTTCAAACTACTAAATAATTTTACAGCCTGCAGAAAGAGGTGCTATGGAAAATCAAAACTTCACAAAATGTGAAAATGCAGTTCTTCAATGACAAAGTGAATCTTTAAATCTCATTATAGATCATCTACATATTTGACTGGGAGACACTCCATGGGCCATCTTCATCCTCCCCCTGAGGAAGGCAGAAAGTTGGCACAGTATTAATGCTGACTGGCCAATGTCACCAGGGAAATGCAGGAGTGAAACTAAGAGAACTGGTACATCCCAGCCTTCCAAAAATAAGCAACAAAACTATGCTTGACTACTTTTGAGCAGGCTTCAAATGCACCTCCAAAGACCCAGTGATTGGGTCTCTCAAAGTCTGGCACAAATCAGGAAAGGGTTCATGGTGCACACATGCTATTTACACTTGAAAGTCGAAACCGAGACCCTACTACTGTTGGAGAAGCTCGACTTGAATCCTTTAAGCAGCTTCCTGCTGGAAATGTGCAGAATTGCATTAGAAAGGCCTGAAGTGTCCATGAGTCTCATTGAAAGTCCTGACTCCCTATCAAACTTTCCCAGCCTTCTGTTTTTAATCAGCTGAGGAACAGTTGGATGCAAGATGAAAATTGTCACTCCTACATCCACAGATGTAAATTAAGATGGTTTTCCTTTTTCTTTTGAAGAGCTGTGTGTCGAATGTATGGAACTGTTAGCAAAATGTACCATTTCATCAAATACTGATTCAATTCCATAAAATCTATGTCGTTTGTTTAATAGGGATAGTAAATGCAATGCTGCGAATATTTCCATTAGGAAGCTTTAGTTGGACCTGAAATGATCAAGGTAATTTACTTTAGAACAATTCTATTAAATAAATACATGCATCATGCCTTGCTCATGACTATGGTTAAAAAGTTAGATAATGTAACTTTTTAAATTGACAATTGTATACTGTGGTGATCTTTCAATGACATTCACTGACTGGTCTATTTCCACAGCTTACCAGGTATGTGTTTTCCATGTTTGTCTTACCTGTCCTGTTGCACTCCAGCTTATCTTTCCCAAAAGGACACACATCACTTTGAGTGCTGTTGCATGGTGTATTCAGATCAGTTTTGCAGTAAGTTGGAGACCCTGTTTGTGGAGCTTGAGAGATGTGTTTCTTTCTCTTTCTTGGAAGCTTCTGTTTTGCCATGGCCAGTGAATAGTACATTCCAAAATTATTGACAATAACTGGTACAGGCATTGCTATTGTCAGCACACCTGCAAGGGCACAGAGTGCTCCTACTAACATGCCTGACCAGGTCTGAGGGTACATGTCTCCATATCCAAGTGTTGTCATCGTGACGACTGCCCACCAGAATCCAATAGGGATATTTTTGAACTTGGTGTGGTGACTGGCTGTTGGATCATTTGGGTTCGCTCCAATTCTTTCAGCATAGTAAATCATTGTAGCAAATATCAACACACCCAGTGCCAAGAAAATGATTAAGAGCAGAAATTCATTAGTGCTAGCTCGGAGAGTGTGTCCAAGAACTCTTAATCCCACAAAGTGACGGGTTAGCTTGAAGATTCGCAAAATTCTGACAAACCTTACCACCCTGAGGAAGCCCAGCACATCTTTTGCAGCCTTTGATGAAAGTCCACGGAGTCCCACCTCCAAATAAAAGGGTAAAATTGCAACAAAGTCAATAATATTTAGAAGATTTTTGATGAATTCAAGTTTATCAGGGCAGAATATAATTCGAACTAAAAATTCAATAGTAAACCATACTACACATACACCTTCAATGTATGTCAATGCCGGGTCTGTTTCAATCTCAAGGTGTTGGATTAATTGAGATGAATTCCCGTTTATTACATGTTCTGTTTTGTTAACAATCTTGTTAAATGCCTCATGTGTCTCGAGGCAAAAGGTGGTGATTGAGACGAGGATGAACAATAAAGAGGCAAAGGCAATAAACTGAAAAAGAAAGAGCAAAAATGCAATTACTTATATTTTAATAACAGTTTCAAGTAATATTTTTAGTTGAAAACTTTAAAAGTATTAGGTAATTCTAGGTAATAATTTAATAAAAGTATTAGGCAATTATTGAATAATTATGCAAATAGATTCATTTTTACATCTAATCTTATAAATACTATACATTGCTTTAAAATATTCAGAAAGCTTGTGCTTCTGAAAAAGCCATTAGTACTGTGCACCTTCTCAATATATTTTACAAGTAACAAGCCATATACTGGTGCATGTACTTTGTTATCACCGCTACTGCAAATGACTGTAATCTGTACAGCTTTCTACAATCACAGCCTCAATTTTACACAACAGTATTTGCAAACATAGTTACTTTTGTTCAATTGCATCTTAACAATTTTTATATTACAATTTGCATTCATGTGATCTAGCATTTCAATACCTTTTATAATTTATAAGCATGCAAATAAAAAGTGATTTCTCACAACCTGCTTTACATAATGCTAAGGATTACTAAGACATTACAAAATTGCAGAAATAATGATTATCGATTACAAAATGATCCCTGTACAAATTTTGAATACTGCAAAGTGAATGAGTAGACAATGGGTTAAATCAGCAAAATAATCTGAAATAATCATCATTTGTACAAGGAGAATATTTGGTCATCATTAAATTTGTTGAAATATGCTTAAAACATGAATTTGGAAGACTTCATTCAATTAGCTCCCTGTGAGATTAGTTATATTGCAAATAACCTCACTAAGCTGCCAAAAAAAATGCTTCTATAATAAAGCAATTGAACACATTCATAGAACATAGAACAGTACAGCATAATACAGGCCCTTCAGCCCATGATATTGCGCCGACCTATTATCTTACTCTAAGATCAAACTAACCTGCATACACTTCATTTTACTATCATCCATGCGCCTATCCAAGAGTCGCTTAAATGTCCCTAATGTATCTGACTCAACTATCACCGCTGGCAGTGCATTCCACACACCCACTACTCTCTGTGTAAAGAGCCTATCGCTGACATCTTCCCTATACCTTCCTTCAATCACCTTAAAATTATGCCCCCTCATGATAGCCATTTCCGCCCTGGGAAAAAGTCTCTTGCTATCCATTCTATCTATGCCTCTCATCATCTTGTACATCTAAACTGTTAATCATATATTTACTAAACTCAAACTGAAAATGTTGGTTAATTTTACTTTGTAGTGTGCCTTTATTGTCAATGATTCCACAGTATCCTTATAAAGTATGAATTGATATCAAAGCAATTACTATCCCAATTTCTGAATGTTATCATTTTCATATTACTATTTCCACCACATGGCAATGCTTCTTTGGATGCCTGGATTCTGTAAGAGGCAAATACCACAATGATCTTGGAAACCTCCAAGTAACTATATTGTAACACTCATATTCTTCAATATTCTGACTAAGTGATCAATCATGAGCCTGTCGGACAAGTACAATTATATTGTTCCTTGGCCGCCTACAATGGGGTGCTCGCTATGGCTCTCATTGGGAAGAGATGACTGATGGTCATTTAACCTGGGGAAAAGGCTGAGAAAGAGGGCCCTTCATAGTAACATCAGCTGGTGTGGAAATTGAACCCACACTTTTGGGGTCACCTGACATTGTTTAAATCAGGTGTCTATCAAGTGAGTTAACCAAATCCCAGGTAACCTATAATCAACAATCTGTCTCATCTTCTCAGTACTTAAATTAATGCTGGCACAATCAAAGATCATTAAAGAAAGGAATTTATGGAAGTGAGGATAGCAGTTAATCACTGTTACAATGTTAAATCATGGTAACGAATGAGTTGCATTAAATTGGAGCCCAACTGTTTTCTGGAAAGAGATCAGATTGGGAGGCAGCAGTTTTGTTGCCACAATCCTGCACTCTGAGGACAGTTGCCACACTGTTTTTGAGTTAGAATCATTAAACAAAGGTAGTTCATTCAAGTTGGTTTTGTTTCTATTCTGCTTAATATGTGCAAGATCATGACGTATAATAGATTGGCACGTTAGGGCTCTTGTGGCACACTGATAGTGCCCTGAAAACAGGAGGACCTGGGTTCAAGTCCCACCTGCTTCAGAGGAGTGGAGTAGTAACTCTAAACAGGTAGATGAGAACATATCTTGACTAGTGTGGGAAGCTTAAACTTCAGGTCTCCACTGCCTTTTCATCAAGCATGGATTTCTGTGGAATGAACAGTGGGCTTAGGAAGCTCTCACACCCTACATATCTTTGCAACAGCCATCTAATTCTATCAGAGAATAGACCTGACTTTAGGATAATTTCTGCACTAATTTGTAAATTAGTTTCTATGGTGTCCACTACTATTAACCATTAGAAGCCCTGAATATGTAAGTTTTTTAAGAAGGCTAAGAGGAAGCCCAGTGGAGAGATGCCATTTGGTTGGATTTCAACACAGGAATTCTGTGCCCATCTAACAGTACAGTCACATTACTCCATCTGAAAACACAAGAGCTTACACGTTGATTTGGAAAACCATGAATCCTACCTTCAAAGGAATAGCGGGGAGTAGGTGTAGTGATACAAGAAAAATAAAGGAAGATCTGGCTAACTACAATGCTGACTAGTATTTCAGAATTACTTAATCATGTGGTGCTTCATGAAGTAAAACATGCGACAGACATCCTACATCAATACAGTTCAATTGTTTGACTCAAACACAATATCACTGACCTTATCCTGACAATTACTCAAGCACCTGACACTGAACGTTGTCAATTGTCTTCACATAGCTGACGTCAATAGGGAGGCAGAGGCAGACAACAAACATTTGTTGAGAAATAATGCTACAGCTAAGTTTTAGCATAGGGATTAGAATGATCCAGTCATAGTAACAGACAACTTTGAGGCATGTTCCAATACTACCAATGGCGTAGATGCCACAGCATAATAAACAGGTCAGTACATCATTTCAGAAACCATCAATGAATGGGTTGAATACTGGATGTCCTGATTTATCTACTGGTGTAGCCAATTCCTTTTCTCTGCAATATGTTTCTAACATTGCTTCATTCCTTTTCCTGTTAAGCTTGGCATAAGTAATGAGGCATGTATTGGGCCTTTTCTAAAATAATTGTCACACAGCTCTGGCATTTCTGCTGAATTTCTTGCATTCATTTAATTTTCACTGAATGGATTTAAAATTCTGAGCAGCCAGTATGTGTAGTGCGCTAGCCAAGACCTCATTTGATTCTGATCAGTGAGATGCTTATATCAAATGGCTGGGTCTCAATGCTGGGCACAGCAATGTCAGCCATGTAAGAAGTCTATGGTAAGTCCTACATATGTCGTGAAGGCAAGACTACAAGATGGTGATCTTGCACCAGCTATGGTCTGTAGTGAACAGGAACACGTTTGTTCCTTCAATCTCTACAAAAATACAAACTTTCAATTTCCTGGCACCAGAAAAGGTCAGTCAGCACATAAACAAAAGAATCACCATCCACTGGAGTCAAAAAACAGCAAAATGAAGATCCTAACTACATCACTAGGTTAAAATTCCAACTGCTTTATTTTTTATATTTGTTAATGGGATATGGGGACCCAATTACTGGTCACCAGTCAGCAGTTAAAAGTCAATGACATTACTGTAGGTCTGGAGTCACACATTGTCCAGAATGGGTAATGATAACAGATTGCCTTCCCTCAAGGAGATTCATGGGGTTTATTGACAATCAGGTGGCTATATGGCAACCATTGTTAGCTTTTAATTCAGACTATCTTTTGTATTGAATTCAAATTTCAGCATGTGTGAGATTTGAACTCATTCGACTAAAAAGCATTAGTTTGGAGTTCAGGATAACTAGCACAGTGGACTTCTTTTTCTTTATTCATTCACAGATTGTGGGCTTTACTGCCCAGGTAACATTTATCGCCCATCCCTAATTGTCCAGAGGGCAGTTAAGAGTCAACTCTGTTGCTGTGGGCCTGGAGTCACATATAGCCCAGACCAGGCAAGGATGGCAGTTTCCTTCACTAAAGGGTATTAGCAAACCAGTTGGGTTTTTCCTGAGAATTGACAATGGATTTGTGGTCGTTATTAGACATTTAATTCCAGGATCATTTTTAAACTTAATATAAATTTCACCATCTTCTGTGACAGGATTTGAAACCAGGTCCCAGGACATTACCTGGGTCTCTGGACTAACAATCCAGCGATAACACCACTAGATACACCATTCCACTGCCTGCCCTTAAGTCTGTTTCAAACAATAGCTGTGACCACTCAGGCGTAGGCCCAGTTCAAAAATGGCAGAACCAAATTACAATACGAATTGAGATCTTATCTATCAAACTGATTCTGAGGCTCAAGCTTTTCTGTTTAAGTGATATTGATGGATTAAAAGTGACCCCACATGTGCTCTGTCCAAACATCCAACATTGCACCCACAGCTATGAATGACTTTGGAAATGGCCCGACATATTAACTATGAGTTTCATTACTGTAGAAATTGCGCTGGCTTAAGCCAGTACATAGAAATTGGTGCTGCTATTCAGTCCTCCAAGGGCAATTTGACCATTTTATCAATTGCCTGATATTAGGAGTCAAACAGTAATGTGCTTTACAGGTTCAGAAACCCTGTATATCTTATAGTCTGAAGGACATTTGACAAAAATGAGGAAAAATCACTCAGGCAGAAACTGTAGCCAGAAGCAAGACAGTAGTCGTGCTAGCCTATTTGAAATAACAAGATGAGGTTTGAAAGCAATCTCTTGGAACAAGAGGCATTATCAAATGACTGTGGCTAAATTGGAAGAAACATCAGTGCATATTAAAAATCCAAAAATTGCAAAGGATGATTACAAGAAAGGAAATTGGGCTGCAGAATATGAAGAAATGAGAATTTCAGAAAGAGAAAAGTTGAGATGACTGAATTTAAAAATAATGATCAAACAACTCTCTTTGGATTAAGTAATTCCAAATATGTGGATTT